GCCAAAGCCTCGAACCTTGGACGAGGCTGAAATTTCATGCGGGATGGTCGGGCTGGGGCCAGGCTGAGTAGAGGGGGTTTTTAAAGGGATCTGAACGCCCTGAGGCTGGACAGCCTCGGCGAATATAGTAGCTTCCATTTTCTTTTCCATTATCCCCTAAACCCTAAACCCTAAACCCTATAACCCCAATATAACCCCTACTGAAAAGTGAAAACAGCCCGCGAGAGCCGGAAGGCGAAACAGCGACAACTTTTGAGTTTGTGTTTTCGACTATATAATGGGTTATATAATATAGGGTTATATGGAGAACACATATAGGGGTTATAAAGCGATGATGGAAAAGAAAATGGAAGCTACTATTTAGGGTTTAGGGGTTATATAGGGGTATATGGGGTTATATTGGGAAAACATGGAAAAGAAGATGGAAACAACTATATAACCCTACATATAACCCTATGTAATATAGTATCTCTTCCATTATCCCAATATAACCCAGTATAACCCTCAAGTTACCCCATATTCTATCTTTACTCTTTATGGGATATCCTACCAGCTTCTGCGATGCAGAGGCGCAGGCAAGCCTTGTCAAAACAGAATCCAGAATGGGTTTTAGGGTTTAAGGGTTTAAGGGTTTAGGGTTTAGGGGTTTAGGGGTTTAGAGTTTAGGGTTTAGGGTTTAGGGTTTCCCAAAATTAGGGGTACCTTTTTGGGGGTCATCATAAGGATTGTAGTATTTTGGGGTCTATATTGGGTTCCCTCTATTTGGGGAAATTACCGAATTTCAAAAAGTTCGAAGTTCACATATGCATAATAGCTTAAGGTGATTCATACTATCAGCTAAGGCACCATACGCAAGTTTCCAGCGCTCAACCTCAGGGTTTAAGTAGTGTCAGAAAAAGTCCTGCTCCCCATGCCTGTTACAGTAAAGGGACATTATGTGACCCCTGTCAAAGGTTAGCTTGTAGCCTCAAGCATGATTCATGTGACCGCAGCCATCTTAATGTCTAAATAAGTCCTGCTTCCTCTGGAAAATTCAGGCTACCGTGTGTTGAATCGGACTTAAAGCTGCAGTCGCATTATGCACAGAAGCAGGTCCACGAAATTCGTACTAGTCGAAACCCAAACCAGAGATAAGTCAAAGATCCCTGAGCAAAGCCCGTCAGAAGGCAAGGACCCTCCAGTCCCCCCTTTACACCTGAAGGGGCCTGCGAGAGAGGCAGAGCCCATGTAGCACTCAGAGGTGTAGAAGCGTTTTTGTTTACGCTAAGGTTCCATTGGCAAGTACTTCTCCCACAGCCCCAAAACATAATCCTTACAACCCCTAGGTTGCCTGAACTCCTTAAGCCCCCCTTGTGACCGCTGTGATCGCTGGTCAGAGGCAATCCTGTGGACGACCTTGGTAATCCAGGCAGTTGCGGCTAAGAGATGGAATGCGTAGAATGTAGAATTGTACGGGGAGGGCCATAGAGGAATCAGATGGACTTGGAGGTCGCTGTAGTCTCTCAATTCTTGAATGCGATGATGCTTCAGAGAGCTTTCTACAGTCCTGCCTGACATGTCACGGCGTGACGTTAACGATTATCCCAGGAACGGTGCAGTCGAGGGTTTGGGCTCAAAGCTAGTTGCACTTGTGCTGGTAGTCAAGATGGTATAGTCTGGTGCTGATTGCGGAACGTCTATTGTTGATCAAGCCGTATGGTAATACTGAGAAGAGCAGCAGCAATAACTGGAGGGCGGAGGGTCAGTCAAACCTCACGCCAAAAATGCCTAGCGTCAGCTTGGAGGTTGCGATTGAGCCTTTTGCCCGTTGGAGGCTTATGGATTGGCAAAGAAGATGGAAATAATCATGTTATTTCGCTTGAAAATGAGCAATTGATAGTACTTGGAACAACTATACCCTTTGGGAGAACACATGTCCCTCCCATTTCGGCGTCGATTCCCAGGTTTTGCGTTCCCCTGCAGGCTCATCCCAGGCATTCTGGGTTTAGGGTTTAGGGTTTTGAGTTTGGGGTTTTAAGGGTTGAGGGTTTGACTGTTGCGGATGGGCTGGCGTTATTTCGGGATTTTGTTGAATGGCAGGTCGTTTTTGGTATCGTCTACTATGTGATGGCAGCGCTATCCATTTGGACGAAGAGGCAAGCAGTCGGGCCGAATTTGGTGTCAAGGAACTTCTTATTTAATGGCTTCCGCCACTTCTACCAACCCGGTGAATCCTCCTGGGCGGATGGATTTGGATAGGAAACCGGGGCAGCTGCTCGGGGTTCTGGCCGTTAAGCCGTTATATACACCAAGAGCGGCGCGAGCGCAGGCTTGGGGGACGGGGAGGTGGGTGGGACATTCTCAGTGCTGGTTTTCATAATTTGTTAGGCTTCTGTGAGTTGACGGACGTGAAGTGATTGCATAAAATGCTGGATGCTGAAACTTTCGACCGAACTACGGTAAAGAAGTGTTTGTACATGTCTGTTGTTGATGTTGTTTGTTCGCCGCCTATGAGTGGCGAGTTCGCCACCTCTGAGTGGCGTGTTGCTGTGTTGAGCGTAGGCTTAGTGTCTATGTTAGTTGTCTCTGCTGTTCTGCATGCGCTCCACTCGCTCTTTCACTTGCCATAAGATATTTCTCATCAATTTCCTCGTCTGAAGCCTCCAAAAAAGTCCTAGAGCTAGGAAGTCCCTGTGGCTGCGCGTTTGTGTGACGTCTTGTCTTGCACCACTTGGCAGGTGCCATTTCAGTAACGATGCATGCTCTACCTCGCCACTGGAAGTGGTGCACCAGCATAACTGCTTGTAACAGCCAAGGGCATGACGATGCTGATCATGATGGTGATGGCACTCGTGAATAGGAGGAGAGCAGCCAAGGAGCATGGCAGGAGCAAGGGAGGGAGCCAGTCAGCGAACGCATGAGTGACAATGCAAGTGTTTGTTTGCTTGGTTGCTTGGACAGGCTAGTTACATGCATGCTTAAGTGGAACGAGTGACGGGGGAGACTTCGGAGAGGGGGCTGCGTTAGGAACAGTCCTGTCTAAATGCTGTCAGTTGTATGTACAAACATGTTGCCACAAGTTGCCCTGGTGTTGCCGCCTCCTTAAGGGTTTAGAGTTAGTGCTCGCGTCCTGCGCATATACAAAAAAGACACACTGCTGCCTAGCTAACTGGACTCTTCGAGAGGTTTGGTATGCACGGTCTGAATTTCAACGTGGTATCGGAGCTCTCTCTGGAGGGAGGCTCTATCTTCGCAGAGGTACCG